ATTGTGAATCATAGAGGGTCGGATATATAACTCAATCCAAACCAATCGTTAGCAGCAATAGTCTAAAACCCCCAATCAACATAACCACTAAAAATCTCTACACCAAACCCCAGAGATAAGAAAACTAAAAAAAACAAATAACAAACCAAATTCTTATATCCACAACCCTGCAAAGGCAAATTCGATAATAAAGAAATCTCCAAATCAAAAACTACAAAAAAAACCAACAAACTAAAATAAGTACCACTAAAATAATTTTCGACTACGCGGCTAGACACATAACCACACTCAAAAGAACTAATTCAAGAACGGGACCCAATAATCTCCGCACCACCCACACTCCATAAAAAACTATAATATAATAACAAAACAACTAAGAAAAAAAAAGAAAAAAAAAGAACACCAGAGATAGAAACCATTCCCAACGAGTAATAAATTAACCACATCTCCGGAGTAAGAACCCGAAACTTTAAAAAATAAGCTACCGATGGAATTACTAACGAAGACACAATACAATCCTACAACCACTATATCACAATGGCCTGCTCAGCAGCCCTATCAGCCTCAATCGACTCTGACAAGACCACAAGCCCCCAAAACCTGCATCCTAGCTTAGACTACCAATTGAAAATCGTCCATGAGCTTAAGAGCTTTCTTAAAGTTAACAGCATTATAATTTGTCATATAATCTACACGAACACAATCGAAGTATGGCCACAAAAAACGAAAGAAGAAAAATTGGCAATACACTACGCCACATAAACCTAACAAAGTAATCATAACGAACCCGAGGTAAAGTAGCACGAGCTCAAATAAATAACACTATGTGTGCCATAGTCATCCATAAAACAAAATAACCACCCCAAAAAAACAATGAGGTGACCCAAGAAAAAATAACCATAATTAAATACTCGCAAGCAAATAAACAAGTAAATGGAACACTCCTATACTCTACATTCAAACCTCTTACCAACTCACTCTCAGATTCAGCATAATCAAACGGAGTACGATTACACTCACATAACATACCAGTTAATCAAAATACATAACCTACGGGCAAAAGAAGTGAAGCTAACCAAACCTCCTCTAGACCCCTGCTAGAATAATCAGAAGACACCAATGCCAATAAAACAACCATACACATAAAACACGCCTCAAAGGTTAAAGAACCCAAAGCAGAACGAATACAACTCAGCAATGCAAACTTTTTATAACAACCCCAACCAATACACAACAAACCGTAACCAATTAAACTAGACACAACAAGTAATCAAAGAGTTCAATTATCAGAATTTATACCAGAATAATACAACGAAAAAAGAGAACAATAACTGCAAGCTACCACAAGCATTAAAAAAACACCAACTCCCGACAATCAGTCACGAAATTGACAAACTGAAGACTTTGACTTCATAACTAACTTAAATAAGTCAGCAAACCTTTGAAGCAAGCCAAGTAAACCCACCTTTTTAGGACCCTTACGAATTTGCATATACCCCAAAATCTTACGTTCGCTAAGAATAAAAAAAGCAACAAACAACATCACTAACGCAAAAGATAACAAAGATCTCAACAACATATACAACCATTTTAACAAAAAAACCATACCCACCCTACAATTGATAATTGCACCTATAATACGACAAACTACAATTCTAATTAAACTAAGGATGAAACTACAGAACAGCAGGAATCAATCCACCTCCTATACGCAAAATAATTATTCTACATAAACTAAACTGTTAACTGACACAACAATCTTCTAAAATCATAGAGTAACACTCACCTCCTACGTGTAAAATAGTCATCATCAATTAGACTATCTGATCCACTACAAAAATTTAGCAAACCCGCAAGCGTTACGTGGAAATTTATCATTAACAGCCCACACAATCAAAAAAACCTGCTCAGATAAACTATATATCAATCAAGAAATAACAACCCCAACACAACAAGAAGAAACACCATACAACATTACCAACTTATAAAATAAAGAAGCTGATAATGGATAAGACACCAACAGAAAACAATAAGAATACCATCTGCCCAATCTCAAACGAAGATTATTACTAAGTCGAGAAACAAAAAACAATACCATTCTTGCTCAAACAAAGTAAACAACAAATAAACTAAAAGTAAAATCAAGAGAAGCATTGAGAGACACGGATACTAATAAAGCTGTAGACGCTAACATCATGTGGGTTCAACAATTAAATCAACTATAACTATACAACCAAAAAAAAATACCTAAAAAAATAAACATTACACACACCAAAATAGCTAGAACAAACTCACCCCAATCAAAAAGAAATGGAATCAAAAACACTGGAAACTTCAAAAGAGTAGAAAGTTCTCAAACCACAAGTCAATTAGATCTCCCCACAACACGATACACTCACCAAAAGAAAGGAAATACTCCTAACTTAACCAATACCCCCACAAACCTTAATAACCACAAATCAGAAAATATAAATCCAGTAATCACAACAAAGGAAGAAAGACACGAAATAATGAAATAATAAAATAAACCCCTGAAAACATCCTTAGATACGGGACGTATAAAAAAAACAGGTAACACACTCAAAGAAACCAGCTCCAAACACAATCAAACAATCACAAGTCTAACCCTACTATAAAGCACAACAGAAAATGATAATATACTACTTAGCCTAAAGAAAAAAACACCATAATTCCACACCATCTAAAAATTTTGAGAAAAAGACAATACTTCACACACAATATATCAATGAATAACTAAAACAAACAACTCATAAAAAAACATAAATAACCACAAGACGCAACCTACACCACATACAAAAGGCCATTCCACCCAAAGAATCAGATAACAACCAAGCATCGTAACCGCATAACCAAAAGTTAAATTAATGATAGGACGAATCAACAAAATAGTAAAACGAATAAAAAAAAATCTAACCAGCTCAGTAACAAAAACAAGAGGAGCAAGATAACCCGGACAACCCACAGGTATAAAAGACATCAAAAACTCCTTGAAACTAGCCAAACGAACAAACAATATTGAAACAAACAAAGGAATCACGATAACACACACAAACACAGAAAACCCTCAAAAACTATAAATGTAAGGCACTCGTAAAAAAAACATACCAAAAAATAAAATAACTAAAACTAACCGGTAAGAATACCTGCCTCAACCACCATTAACAAAAGAACGAAGAAAATTATAAAATACTAAAAGACTCCTAACACCCATCAAAGAGAACAATAAATTGTATTGCGTGAGCATGAATCACGAAGTTTTAATTAACATACCTCTTCTTCCTCCATTTCACACCCCCCACTCATATAAACAACACAATCTTTGACGCTTCAAATCAACACTTTAAAATAAGCTAAACGAGGGGTTACCACCTGCAGCTAACAACTAGCCCCCTCTGCGACCAAACCGCAACATGCAACAACACCAAACTGCACACTAACAAAACATGAATAGTAAAAAACACAAAATCAACAAAAAAATTATAGGCACACCAAACCTACACGTACGTCCCACACAACACCGCAAATTAACATGACGAGACAACAGGCCCCCTATCATAAATAAAGGAATTAACCCACTTAGAAATAGATAAACCCCAAAAAAGGAAAGAAATAATAACCTCAAATAAGAAGCCTTAACAGCAACAAACACCTCACAAAGAAATTGAATAGTCGGAGGAAAAGACATTACAGTACACATAGACGCTATAAATAAACAATTAAAAGACCACCCCCTTAAAGTTACAGACTTCAACATGAACCATTTACGGCTGCCAATAATTTCATAAGAAACTCAAAAAACAATAAACATTAAGCCTGCCGACAAACCATGGCCTAAACAATACAAAATGGATAATTCCATTTCCCCTAATTCAGCCACCCCTAAGCATGCACAGGAAATAACAATATGTGACAATCTCATAAATGCTAGCCAACGCTTACTATCCAATTCACAGCAAGCCATCAAAAAGAAAAAAAAAGAAGCAATCAGACATATTACAAGATAAGAAATAGTAAATATAAAATCAGGCAACAACCAACTACATATACGACACAATCCAAGTATCCCAAGCTTCATCACGTAACCACTCAGACAAACAGATACAGGACTGGTAGCTTCAGCATGAACTAAAGGAAGTCATACATGAAATGGGGGCAATGGAATCTTAATAATGAATAACACACCAAGAACAACCAACACCGTAAAATCTATTGGCTTTCTTAAAAGAGGCCAACAACCAAACTCAAACGCCCCCCATCGAAAAGATAAGTAAATCAAACATAATAGCATGGGAAGCCTACTCAAAATAGCATAACCCAATAGATACCACGAGGCAACATAACGTTCTGAATATGGTGACTCAATTACTATCAATAACAACAACGGGAGAATTGACATCTCATAAAAACACCAAAATCAAAAAGAATGAACACAACAATATCTCAAAATCGAACAAATAATTCTTAAAACTAACATAACACAACTAACAAAACTTAAAACATCAATAAAAAATATTAAAGAAAGTATAAGAAGTAACGATAAAACAGTTAAATAAAGTCTTACAGAGTCAAAACAAAATAAACCAAATACAGATAACCCAACATATGAAAACAAAGGAGAAACACAAATAAAAACAAATAACAAAAAAATAAAGGACATAAAAAAACTTATTCCTCAACTATACCTATCAAATCACTTAAATCCCATAAACGAGTTAATATTACTAAACCCAAAACCGATTCCACAGTAAAAATTACTGTGAGAACCAAAAATAAAATACGATTATCAGATACAGTATAAATAATACACGCAAGCAAAACCATAACTTTGAGACTTTCCAATATAATCAACGAGCGCAAGAAATGAGCCACAAACAAAAAATAATTAAGAGCACTAAACATAATAAGTCAAACCAAGGAAACCCTGAGCTCCCACCTGAACCTGGCCACATCATTTAGTAATACAGCGTATAGAGATCCGTTCAGAAACTCTTATATACACATAACAACAACACTAAAAAAACACAGGAAACCTTACCTACGGAAGTATAGGGAAACTCAGGATGGCTCAAACCTAAATAACCCAACAACACAAATAAAGAAACCAAAATCCAAAACACCAACTGACGAGAAGTATAATAACAACACGATTCTTTACAAGCAGGCAATCACAAAATAAATAAAAATAATAAAACCAACAAAAGACCACCAATCTTCGACTCTACAGAACGAAGCATAGCATAGAAAGGAAGAAAATATCACTCGGGCTTAATACTCTTAGGAGTAACTAAAGGATCAGCCTCAATATAAGCCTCCGTATCAACTACCAAATCAGGACACAATCACATAAAAAAAACACATAAAGAAACTGAAGATAAAAATGCAAACCCATCCTTAATAGTATAAAACCCATGAAACAGAACAACATCACCGTATCCCGGAATAGATAAAGGATTATTTGAACCAGCCACATGCAAATAAAATAAATGAATCACACTCAAACCAACAATAACAAAAGCTAGACAAATATGAGCAGAAAAAACACGGACAAGGGTGACCCTCCTAACAGAGAGACCACCCACTATGTAACGATAAATGTACTCTCCAACAAAAGGAACTCTAGCGACTACAGAAGTTAATACAGTAGCAGCCCAATAAGACATTTGATGCCAAGGAAGAATATACCCTAAGAAAGCCTCAATCATCATGAGAAGATACAAAATAAACCCAATTTTCCACACTCCAACCTTAGAATAACTAGAATAATACAACGAACGACCAATGTGCAAATAAAGAAAAAAGAAAATAAAAGAAGCACCCCAAATATGAGAATACCGGATTAACCAAATAAATAAATCCTCACCAATAAAACCCATAACACAACCAAATCTAACATTTGAACCACAAGAATATAACAAAGACAATATCACACCAGACAATATTTGCAAAACCAAAAACCCCCTAATCATAAAACCTCTACATCACAAATACCCTAAAGAAATATTCGTGGGAAGATCTACTACATTTAATCGAAACAAGTTAAACACGATCCCCTCTAATAAAAACAATAGATCGCCGACACCACAAATCGATAGTTTAAAATTAACCTAACGGAGATACAAACTTACATTACATAAACAACCACATACACGAGAAACCAAATATAATCAACAAAATGTCAATACCAAATCACCAACTCATGATAATAATTAACCAAAACCTTATCAAAATACTTATATGTACCAATAAGAGCAACAACCCCAACAAGAACATGAGTAAAATGTAAACCAACCACACAAAGAGAAGAAGAAACATAACTCCTATCAAATATATTAACACAGCATTCCCGACACTCAGCATATTGAACTAAAATAAATAAAATACCCAACAATATAGTTAACTTCAAAAACAAGAACCCTCGGGAAGAGCCCATAGAATGATGAAAACCAGAAGCAGTAATAGAAGAAGTAAACAACAGCATAGTACCAATCAAAGGATACTCAACAAAAGAAGCTAATCTAGCAACCCCCGGACTATTATATCAAAAAATACTAAATAAAAGAGTAAAAAAAATAGCACCCTCACTAAACACAAAAATTATAAAAGAAGACAAATAATGATATCCTAAAACAACAATTTCAGAAAGATAACATATCAAAACAACATAAGATACAAAACAAAAAACAAAAACAGATCTACCATTCCACAGAAACACACTCAATAAGCCCCAAAGAAATAATCAACTACTAAAAAAAGGCAATAAACTCAAAAACCCCTATTCTAAACCAAATTTATCAATTACACTAAAACCAAAGCAACTATAACACTATAAACAAGTCAATCACACAACACACTACCACCACAACTTAATAATAAATAAAATTAACCCAATACTCCTAGCCCTACACAAAAAGGGCTACAATTACTTCTACAATATAACCAACACCAAACTATTGCATTGAAAGTGAGAGAAACCCACAGGCCCAAAACCACACACTTAACAACACACACACAACCAATTACTCTATACCCCTATCATATTATATTACCATATATCTATATACCTTATCTATATGTACCTTACCTCTATAGAGGTTAGTACTTCTCTATAT